CACCTAGAAGTAAGATTTTTTTTAGAGGAGTAAGAATTTGACCAAAAACTGAAATCAAATACACGACAATTTTAAATGTTCATAAATACTGTATATCAGTTGGAGTGCACAATGTTTTTAGTAGTCTATTTTCTACCTTTTTTCTTTTTTTTGATTCTTAAATAACAAAATAATGAGGACTTTGGCATGTAGTTTAGAGATCCAAAAAGACATCTAAAATCTTTCTTATTGTAAAAATAAGGTACTCTGTTGATTGGTTTTCCATGAACAGCATATAAAACGCTAACTGTACAAGCTCAGTAATTTCTTTATCCGCTCACTGTTACTATATCTCTGCATCTTTTCTTCTTCTTTTCCTTGTTTTTTTCTTTTTTCTTTAAAACAAATGAAGTTCAGAAATAATGCTGTACCCCTTTTTTTTAAATGACTGTGTGGTCGACACCCCGGTCCCTGGGCCGCGCTGCCACTTGGTGGCCTCCCAAAGCGCAGCAGTTCAGGATGGGAGACGTGGGGTCCAGAGATACTGGGGACACAGCTGTCTTGGACAGCTCGGTCTGCCGTTTTCAGCGACCTTTGACCTCTCACGGTAGGCTTGTGCTCTGCAGTGTGGCCTGTTAGGAGCAGTAACATAAGGTTGGAGAATGTTTGCATTTGCCGTTTTACACTTGATGCGTTTGATGACCCTATGGGGAGAGAGAAAATTACAGAGCCTGCAGCACGGCCACTGGCGGCTTTGCGTGCAGCGGCTTACGTCTGGCTGCCAGCCAAGGACCTCGGACTCTGGTGCAGCCCGGCACGTAGCTGCGCTGCTCTGGCTGCGTGGAAGGGGGCAGCCTGATTTAGGCATCCCAGATTTCCTGCCAGCCCCAGATGGAAGGCAGGGTGTGACAGGATTACCAATGGAGCTTCCATCTCTTTTGGTTTCCTGGGGGCGTGGAGGGGATCGTGCGCTCTGTATCAGCCCACGTTTTCAGCGTAACACCTTCAGGCAGATAGGGTGCACCTAAAGAATTGCTTTTTCAAAAGAGAAGGGAGGGTCAGGCATCTGGCCTTTGTTTTCAAACAAGTTAAAGACGGGCTTAGACAGATGTCTGTTCCTTGCACATTCCCCTCTGCGCAACCTTCAGTTTAAAGCTGAGAAGGAAACAGCTTTGATTATGTGACTGAGATCAAGACCCGGGATATGATGCTCTTTAGACTCGGTTCTCGGGAGACCAGCTGCTGCAGCCTTGGTTGAAAAGGGAAGCTCTTATGCCAGGAGGGAGTAGTGATTGAAAATCTGCAAGTCCTTTGGTTATAGCTTCTAAGTGTACCAGTGCTTTCTGTTGGGGGTTGCAGATGATCACCTGGCTTTGCCCTGGGGTTCCAGGTATTTTCTGCTCCCAAAGTTCATCTCATTTCCCCACTCAAGGAACGGAGGAACGTCTACAAAATGCTGAAGATAGGCAGAAGTCTAACCTACGTTATGCCCTAGAGCTGAAAGAAGAAAAAAATTAAAAGTTAAATCTGAGTTGTACCCAAATTTTAAAGTTCCCAGTAGAACCAGGGATACTCATTTAGATCTTAAGTGGTTGACAAAACTCCTCCATTTTCTTTATTAAGTGGAAGCTGTCCAAATTAAAATAATTGCAGGTGAATAACAAGAAAAAGCTCAAGAGGCCTTGCCGTATCTGGGCAAAGGCAGAAGTTATGGAGGTGGTCTAGTGGGTGAAGCACCTGCACCCGGCCCTCAGACTAGCAAGAAGGGTGGACGTTGGAGTCATGGGGTCAGCGGATCGTCCGGCCCTGAATCGGGAGGGAGCGGAGTCTTCTCAGAGATGGAAGCCGAAGAGTCATTCTTTTTTTAAAATAATTGTTATTGCTTTTTAATTAATAACCAAAGAAAAACAAAAGACAAAAATAATACACTATCAAGAAGGAAAAAAACATTAAAAAGTGCTATTTCAGAAGAGTGACAAAAATACCACAAAGAAAATAAAAACCTTAGCATAGCATATCATTATAACAGTAAGTAGTTACAAATCGCTATATATTTAT